CCCCCTTGCACAAATCGACACAGGTGTGTGTGGTGGGTGCTGCTTACCTGAGCCAGTGACACTGGGTGACAAGCAGAGCTGCAGGCAGGGCCTGGGGGCAAGCAGCAGCAGTGGTGGTGGGACAGGGCTGCCTGCAGTCAGCCTCACCCCGGCCAGTGCTTGGGGAGGTGACTCTGCAGCTTTTGGTCCAAGCCTAGAAGATGCCTCATCTTCAACCCACCTGGAGCCTTGTTTCCCACCCTGCCTCCCTTCTTCCCCCCAGTCCACTCCAACATACAAGATGCCTGTGTGGCTGATGTATATATGTATGGGTTTTCTTCCCTTTTTTTTTTTTAAAGAAAAAAAATTAACTTTTTATTTATTGCCTGAGGGAGGGAGAAAACAAGTTGTTTGGAGAAAATTAAAATAAAACAGTTTTCAACAGTTGTGGTTGGCACAAGTTTGTCCTGAAACCAAAACACTAATAGCTTTCACAGAGCAACTGTTAAAAATGTATTTATTGAATTTTAAACTATTACAAGTATTGCAGATCAGACATTTAGCCAAGCACATTTATAGATCAAACTTGGTTGTTACAAAGATGTTATCTAAAGTCCACCGTGTAGGCAGGCTGAGAACCTGCCCATCATCATCTTTGAGAAAGAGGGTAAAGGAGGAAATAAATAAATGATATTCCAGCTCCAGGTAACTGGCAACCAAGAGAGGAAACACACAGGGCTAGTAAGAGAAACAAATTACACACACAAAAAAAATCTAAAATCTCAACCCCCAGGTACATTGCCATTTGGGTTGGCAGAGAAAGCAATGAGGAATGAAGATACACAAGCTTACAGGACTGTGGCACAGCAAAAATCCTCATTTCAATTTCCAAAGCTGAAGCAAGTTCTGCAGATGTTAAGAAGAAAGTGTCAAAATTACCTTGTAATACAGAGACTCTAATCAAACTACATTAGCAATTAACAGAACCAACACTACAACTTGCCACCAACAGGATCATTAAGACAGAAACAGATGGATCAAAACCAGCCAGATAATACGATCTGACAGGCGGATGTGTTAGTGTAATGAGAAACGCATCTGCTTCTCCTGTCCCCTCCTGCTCCATGGGCTCACTCACCTCACTTCAGAAGTTTTAACACACGTCCCCTGATCCTCTAGGCTTCACATCTACTACGTGTTCACAGAGGTGGGAACGCTGCCGCTCCCTCTCTGCGCGCATCCTGCTGCTCTCTGGAAGATCAGGAAGATCTGGAAGATCAGAGAGCTTTGGCCTGTGCCAAAGCCCCCGCCTCTGATCAGCAAAGGATTCAAGGCTACGGAGGGTCACAAGCCACTCACTACCTGTGGCTAGAATGGAATCTGTACTTTCCCACCTCTTCCCCAGTACAGCTGCAGCATGGCTTCAAATGACTGAAGCATGCACTGGATGTATCTCCTTTTAGACTTCTGAGCTAAATTTTCTGGGGCAAAGCAGCACAGAAAGGAAGAAATCCCTTTAAAAATAAATTCACACATTTCCTGACCTTCAGCTGCTGAGATTGATTAGCAATGTTCAAACTAATCTGTCCTGCGGTTGGACCCTTCCTTTTACCCATCTGTTGGAAAAATCTGTTCTGGGTAATTTCTGTTAACAGTCCCATGTGAAAATTCTAGAAGCTACGCCATCCCATATCCCACATGCCTCTTCTGTGCCTGCTGCCCACCAAAGCCAGCAGTGCACATCATCTTGTGGGGCTTTCCTTTTGCCTCAGTGTAGAATTTTGTTTTGGGGTATTCCGTTATCAACAAGCAAAGTAGAAAAGTTCACAGGCAAAATAAATTCCTAGTGGGATTCAACCGCATCACACGCAAACATTCAAAACAGAGGTTAGAAAAACGCACTGCTCATTCCTTGGACTATGGACCAACAGTGACTGCAAAATGGTGGAACGAGTACAAAAGGTTTGTAACAGCCTCCATGGAGCTGGGATCAAAACAGATTGGCAGATAAAAATAAGGATGAGAAAATAAGATGCACCTTATGAAGGTTCTGTACTCTCTGCTTTTAACCCTAACAGAAGTTTCGTTGGCAGCAGACTGCAATGTCACTGCACCAGGTACCTAACTCATCTGTCTCACGGAAACAATTTCAGCAATGGAGAGCAGAACCCTCCCTTCTTCGCTACGTGGTGAAGTTTGTTTCTGTTTTGCCTATTGGGGTCCTGTTGCACATTGCACAGATATTTCAACATACTGCCTCAGAGGGACATGCACAAAAATCAACAGGGCTGAGAGACAACGGTCCCCTTTCCCAGCAGACACCACGTTCTGTCCCAGTGGGAACAGCTCTTTCTGGAGCCAGTGAGAGGTGCCCAGGTTCCCAAGCCAACTAGATGGCTCAGCCCAGTGTGTTCTTGCATCCTCAGTTCTTACCGTGCCTCCAGTGGTGACCCAACGCTGCAAATGAGCATCCTGTTATCAGGGGACAGCCCTTCTCACAGACCATTGTAAAACATCTTCATTTCCCAGGAGGCAGCAGCTGCCTGGTTAAGGGGGTGATGCTATTTTTAAGGTCCCTTTCTCCAGAATTAGGAGGCATCAAGTTAACTCCCTCAGCTAAAGCAGCAGCATCTGTACTGTTAGCAGTGTGCCAAACACAGCTCTACCACCAAAGACACAACCAGCTTTTTCATGGGTAACTTAGATATCGATGGGCAGACCCTCACTTTGTTTTAAACTGTAAGAGGAGCTACAACAACATACGGCAGGAGAGGCAGACGCTGCTCCTGCACAGGTTTCTACAACACACAGATGCATCAGCAGGCCTGGGTATTCCTCTATGTCTGGCCACAAATGGATGCGAGATCACATCACTACGAGACAAAAACCACTGCAAAATGATTTCCTCACACAGCACCTTTACGATACGTTAACACTGGCAGTTCAAAGATACTGGACAGTATTTTTATCACTCTAGAAGTGAATCCAGACGAGCCATGAGTTCAATCAGCACACAGGAAACAACAAGCAAGAACAGAATCTTGTGCGGGCTTGGTGGGGTTTTTGCTTTTTAGGTTTGTTCTTGTTTTTGAAAGATGTAAAGCTTTTAACTTCCACACCCACGTTAACCATTTTGCTCATCTAAGCAGCACAACTGTTTCACCATTTAAAACTGTGTCTAACTGGGGATGGTGAGCAGCACGCACTCAGCACTATCTGAAACCCCAGTGTAGACAGGCACATCCCCCCACTCCATTATTAACTAAGTTAAAAACAAACCCCAAACTTAAATGATGAATACAAAGCTTCAAAGCCTAGTGGTGGTCTTTGCAATTCTAACACTATTAAACAAGTAGCCAAAATACAAGCACCCAATTTTATCAATGAAATTTGATTAAAAGGACGACTAGGCTAGAGCCTGGCTTGGACTTCAAAGCTACATATTTCATCAGGTCACAAAATGAAGCAAGAACCATATAACCACTGCCAGCTCAAGAAAAATAAAACCCAAAGTTCAAGATCTGTTGGAGTATTGCTACTTCTAAGGTTTTCTTTAGAGATATTACAAACAGATGATGCGCAGGTAGCCAGACTGCATCAAATGACTGATTTTACAGTGGGTGAAATTCCTCTGTGAGGATAACTTGCTTCAACATTAATGTCTTAATGTTGAAAATGAAAATTTTGTGTCTTAATGCTGCAAGAGAAAAGCTCTTTAAGTTTGTTTTATCCAAACATCTCAGCAAAATCCCACTTGCAGGGAGCAGATATATTTTCATAAACTAAAAGCACACTATTCTGTTGTTTTCTTGCTTTAAGGGGCATAAAACCTGAATGCATGAACTGGATCATCAGACAGTAAATAGTGCTGGTTGACAGGGAAATGTACAGTGTGTTGTGTTCAAAGAAACATTTCTTTCCTCTAGTTGTTACATGTTCAATGCTGAAGCACACCTCCTGGTATTGGTTGTTAAGAAAAAAAAAAATCAACATGGCTTGATTTTCAACCTTCTCTGAAGCTGTAAAAACAACACAAAAAAGAAACTGGTTTCTACTTTTGTCAAAAGCATATCCTCCATGAGGGGGACTTTTCAAATTGTTTGATGCTGTGCTATGCAATGTTTAAAAATAACTTTCTCCTACCCAGTGAAATAAACCCGGGAACTTGCAAGGAAGGGGATTAGAGTGGATAAATCCCAGCTTTGTTCTCTGGTATACCTGCAAACAAATTCACTTGTCAAGTGGTATCTTAAAAGTTCGTTATCATCAAAATGTAAAATCAGTATTTTAGAAGAAATTATTATTTTTGTAAATCCCTTAAGCTCCTTAATGGTGATGTCACACACAAAGATGTGACATGAACCTGCTGTAACACACTCTCCCTTGCCAGTCTGAAACCCATTTGCTGGGTCTGGTATCACAGAGGGGCATGAACCAGACACGCCCTCGTGTATGCAATCTTCTGACTTCTTCCCTTGCTCTCTCCCAGCAAAACCTCATGCCACTCTAACTGGAGAATGCTTCACAAACTGCATGTACTTAATAGGAGCCTGAACAAACGTTCTGTTATAGATGCCAGCAGAGGGCATTGACCCGCTCTATGAAGTTCTTCCAAGCACAAGAGCTGGTTTTACCCTTGCAAACACTTCCTAGGGCTTCCCTCAGAAAACTCACACAGAAAAAGCAGTGAACTGACATGATTTGTTTCCACGCTAAAGTTACACTCACTCATATTATCGTCTGCTCAGAGGTGTGCAAAAGAACCCTATATTGAAGAACTGGCCCTAGCCCCTTCTCAGATGAAATTCATATTGCATTGTTAATGATTTTATCTCGGCTTTGTGCAAAATATCTTTAAGAAGTTTCCGGCTCAACTTCAGAATACAAAAGGAAAATAAATAGTTGACTAGGATCTCTTGAAAACATGAAATGAATGGTGTGTGCTGAAAAGAAAATTATGGGCTTAATGTAATTTATCTGCAAATAAAATAACTAGAATAGTAGTGTCTGAAATTTTAACATGTGAGATAGCATGGATAAAGATTTATGTTTGCACAATAATGTTCCCAAAGTCTAGATCAAAACAACATTATTTTACACATGGTAACTGCAGAGACTAGGAGCCTGAGATATGTTATTAAAAGGCAGTCCCTTGTAAACTTTCCTCAAAAGGAACAGTAGCAGTTGAGTATGCAAGTGTTACTCATATCATATTCATCAAGACAGCAATGCTTTATAAAAGACATACAACTTATTCCCAGGTTGTTAAGAATTTTATATGATACTGATTTTCTGAAACATGTACCCATCCAGTCCAAGATTGAAGTCACATCCTTCTTCACTGCTCTGGAGCTACTAGGTCTTTTGCTCTGCTGCTGTTGCTGTCTGTGAGGGGGCTTCTGGTTTCACAATCTGGTAAGTAATGAGATATTCTGGGTATGCCTGAAAGTAAAGTCAAGGAGAAAAAAACCAACATTGCTTTATGCAAGGAAACACTCATCAAATTCACATTTTGGATTTCATTAAACAGTGACCAGGAAGGACAATGCAAGCATCAGGGTGCAAAAGAAAAAGCGGACTTCAAACCTAGGCATGGGGCCCTGCCCTCCAGCGGAGGAGCCTAACAGATGACAGGACACTGCTGCAACAGAAGCTTCTTGAAATCCAGCAAGAGCAAACGCATGGGTTAAATTCCTTGTAACACTGCAGGATGGGAAGCAGCCCTCCTGAAAAGGTGCTGGGGGTCCTCAGGTGACAGCAAGCTAAAGCAGAATCAACAGTGCGTTCTGGCAGCAACAGAGGCGGTACATCACCAGCAGCGTAGCCAGTTAACGGAGCACAGCAATGCCTGCTGAGGATTCAGTACTCACTTGAACACTTGACACCTGCATACAACTTTTGAGCCCTCCAATATAAGAAAGATGCCAACAAGCTAGAGACAAGTTTAGGAAAGGACCAATATGATAGTTGGGGGTGAAGCACAGGATAAAGAAGCAGCAGCTGAGGAAGATGGGCTTGTTCAGTTCAGAAAAGGGAAGGCTTCGTGGGACCTCAGGGCAATCTTCCATCACCCATAGAAGGCTACTGAGAAAACAGAGCCAGACTCTTTTGCGAGCTGAGCAGCAGGAGAATAAAACAGGGGAAGGTTCTATTGGATACAAAGAACATACTTTTTACTGGGAGGATAAACAAAGGAACAAGCTGCCGTGAAACACTATTCTCTGAGGCCTTCAAGACCTGCCTGGTCAAAGAAAGCCCTCAGCAATCTGCTCTGAATTCAGTGTGCCCAAGAGGCTGGCCTGCGTGACTTCCCCAAGGTTCCTTCCGACCTGAATTTATTCTATAACCTTGGAGCCATCCAGAGTAGTCAGCAACCACTTTCCTAGAGTAAGGGTCTAGCTGAGTTATTCAGATGAAAAATAAACTCCTGAAGATTGCTATTCTACTTCAGCTGCCATTTAAGGGTAGTCTGTGACATAGAGGGACACTGTCACTGCTGGGAATCTACAGGTAAAAAGCCCAGAATCCTCAGTATGTACAAGAGCCCCAGAAACGCACATGTTCTGGTTACTGCCGTAATGTCAGTAAAAGGCAATGGGAGACACAGCGCCTGCTGAGAGAAACTACAACTCTTAACAGACTCTAGCAGCGCTGCACAGGAGGAATTAGGCAATTCTGCATGGTGTAAATCAGACCAGCTCAGTGGAAAGGAGTAACAGTTCCTGGCTTCATACAGTTCACTGTTTCTTTCCACATTTAAATGAAAAAAAATAAATCTGATTAACCAGGTTATCACAGCACACTTGGTATGGAAACCAGTCACATCCCTTCTCCAGCTCCAAGCTCTGCCCTTCCATAAACCCAGTCCTTGCTAAGGCACATACCTGTTCTCCTCTATAGATAACATACTCAGCGTATGCGAGTCCATTCACGCTTGGCCGGCCAATAACAGAATGGTGCCCTGGAGGGGCGTGAGCCATTTTCATTGTGCTGAACTGAAGAAAGGATTTCCCAAGGGTCACTCTACAGAAGAGCATCTGTCTAAAAGGAAAAAAACCCCACATCATTTTAAAATAATATCTTACCAGGAGTTGTATGCTTCCGGAATGATTTCAGACTTTTGAGCTTATTTTGTTACACTTAATTTCTCAAGGCTTTTTGGAGAAACACTTTCAGAAACCAGTTCTAAAGCTGTATAAAACCTGTCACAAAACTTTCTTGACAGGCAGAAGGGCAAACACACACTTTGTTTAGCCCTAGAACACTAGCCTGTTCTAGTTCATTTTACAGAAAGCTGTTGAAAGAAGCTGTGTTCCTACTAATCAGGGTAGGGACAGGCGTCAAAGTGCAAAAAGCACATTGATCTACTCCAGTACAAATCAAAGCTGTGATTAAGTCCTCTTCACTACCTCCAAAATTATCTGATCCAGTACAACACTGTACTGCTGACCACCACTTTGCCCTGCAATTTTGTTCTGAGAGTGCCTGGAGTTTAACTGCTATTTTCCCCTGACTCTTCATTTTCAAACTTGCTGTTTCAAGCCTCTTTCCGGAGCCAAAATTCACTTTGATTTATACTCACTGTATGCTTAGATGTGTAATTTTTGACCTTTCTGTGGGACTCGTTGCATTTATATAATTTTTTGTTCGGCCCTGACAAACAGAAATCTGCGTTTTTGCTGCTGTGACCAAGCTCAAGTGGCTATTTTTTCACTGCAATTCATCCTGTGCCAGGATCGTAAAAACCAGGAGAGCCAGAATTATGTATAGGGAACTCTGCTGGACTCATACCTGTGGCAGATATAACAGGATCTGTCTTTGTGTGTGGGACAGCCTGTTCCTCCTCCTATCCCGTATACGTATTGGTTGCTTTTTGAGGAGTTCTCAGCAAAGTAAATTCCAGCTCCAAACATTCCTCCAATGTATGCATGCCTTTCATCAAATCCTTTGTGAATGATAGCATTAATAAAAGGAGACCCTAGAAGAGAATGACACGAAATAGTGTGTTATCATACATACTTGTTAAGCTCTGTAGTAATACAGGACTATGTCAAGAGGAGCTTGTCTGCCTCAAATAGACCATTAAATACCAGAAAGTGTGCTCAGTCATCTGGAAGGGGGCGATACCCAGCAGGATGCAGTCATGTGTGGGATTTATCATTATATACCAAGATCCCACGTATGACTCATATTTCTTATTCATTTCACAGATCTCACTAAATGGCTTTCACCCCCACTCACATTTCAGCGCAAGTTATCTTGTCAACGCACACCTTCTCCAGCAGTCAGTACTGGTTAAGATGGGGCAGGATGTGAGGACAATCATACCCAAAACCAATTTCCTATGCAGAATCATAGAAGAATCTAGGGCAGGAGGACCCTCAGGGAACTGTCATGTGTAGGCACTTCTGGATGCTTCTAGAGAACATCTTGCTGAAACTCACGGTTGGTTTTGATTCCTGTCCCTGATGGCTGCCTGCAGTGCCAGGGTAAAATGCCTTCACTGTGTGCTGCGCCCCTCTTTCAGAAGATACTCTGTCTTTCTCACAGCAATGTAACATCCTCCCAGCAGCTTTACTGGAAATGACTAAGATATGCCTTAGCAAAAAACTTTTTTTTTTTAAATGTACTTCTTTATCTAGTGTAGCTCTTCAGATTGCAGTAACCACACAGACTAGCTCCACCACCCCCGCATCCCTGCATATCTAGTGTACAAATACAATTACGGTACAGGATGGTGATACAGCAATATAACATTGCCTGTGGGTCCCTGTAAACTTTTCTGTTTTTTTTTAAAAATACCAGTGCAAACAACTAGACATTGCTTCCTTACCATGAAACAACATGCGTTCATTGTGATGATTATGATTCTCCTCTGAGACCTCCTTCTGTCTGTGACAGAATCTCTCCCGCAACTTCTTGTTCACGACCTTTTGAATCTGCAGTGGTACAACAGGTCCAACCATACTTGAGTTGGAATTGAAATGGAATACAGTTTCACAGACTTTGTACAAATCTGACAGTGATGCTAAAGAGTAAGACCCACGAATGGTCTGGGCTAGCTTTTTGAAGCCTGCTGTCTGGTTTAGGTTGAAATTTTATGAAAAGAAAAGAACGTCTGAGGAAATAAATTAGGAGATGTGCTGTTTAATCTGCCTTAAGATATCATTCCAGCCACATGCTCTAATAGCACCGTGGTTTCTGTAAAGGACTTCTCCTTTGGTTGGGAGTAGGACTGAAGCAGAATTAGCTTCAGGATGTATGATCTACTGGGTCAGGCTGTAAAGGCTGTGCACAGGCTCACTTTTCAAACATACACAGCAGGGGTTTGCTGGAGCTCAGGAACTGAGTTCTGTTCTGATTTCCTCTATTTTCTCCTCTCCAAAAAAAGGAACCAGGAAGTTCCACTTTCCCTCAGAAAGGCAACACTCCATTTTCTGATATGTCAGGGCTTGTAAAAGGTATTTTTCAGTTAGCAGGGGCAAAGAAAAAGGTGTCAAGATCCAAAGTAGCATAGGGAGACAAACTTTTAATAAAAAGTGATGCTCAACCTTTCCTCCTCCCCAAAAATGTCCTTTGAAAAGGCAAGAAAAGATTACACTGAGAAAAAAAATCTGCACTGCAAAGTCAAATACAGCAGTTATAGATCCCTGAAATCAAATCAGGCTGTGAAACATAAGTCAGGCTCTTCACCACTTCTGTCTTCAATATCAGTTCTTCAGACTCCTTTAAGAGCACAAGTGGTTACTTCTCCCTCATCCCATGTCCAGAGCACACAATCAGCCTAATTTTAGCATTTATCACTTGCTTTAATTTTGCTCCTAAATATTATTTCCATAAAGAACTTTAAATATAAAAGGGGGGGCCTACAGGAGAGATGGGGAGGCACTCTTCATCAGGGGGTGTAGTGATAGGATGAGGGGTAATGGGTATAAGCTGAAAGAGGGTAGATTTAGATTAGATATTAGGAAGAAATGTTTTCCTGTGCGGGTGGTGAGGCACTGGCCCAGGTTGCCCAGAGAAGCTGTGGATGCCCCACCCCTGGAGGGGTTCAAGGCCAGGCTGGATGAGGCTTTGAGCAACCTGGGCTAGTGGGAGGTGTCCCTGCCCGTGGCAGGGGGTTGGAACTCGATGATCTTTAAGGTCCCTTCCAACACAAACCATTCTGTGATTAAACCAATTCTGTCTGCTTGAACAAGTAACAACTTATTCTACCACATAGAATTAAGAGGTTTTGAAACTTACCCTGATGACATTGTACCTGTTGAAGATCCCACCAGCATTTCCACCGTCCCGATGCTCCCGGATTGTACTTTGCATCTACATAATGAACACAACTGAATGTTCAGCACACAAAGCCTGCTAGCAAGGCAAAGTATTCATGCAATATCTCAGGATATCACTGGCAACAACAGACAATCTTGATTGAAAATTAATTAACAGGTGTCAAAAAAACCCCAACTCAATTTTAAACTGAGGGACACCCTTATTTCTGAGGTACCCAATGCACTATGCTGTTCCACAACAGAGAAGTTGGATGATGCAATTATCCAATCTTGCAATAAAAATCTACATAGGGAAAAGGAGAATAGCGGCACTTGCTATTAAAACTATACACAAGTAGAAAACCTGCTTTAGATTAGAAAAAATAAAATCTTTGAAAATGAATATACAAAAAGATCATTTTGAAGTAATGACAAATGTGTTTCTAATGAGTACAGTTTGTATTTCTTAGTGATAGGAAAATGCTTGCACTGTACATTTTCCTATGTCATTAGCAGCCCCACAGAATTTCAAGAGTTTCATTGTGTCTTTTCCAGAGTTATTTATAGCTACAGCAACAACATTTAGTAACAGCTCAAATAAATATCCTAATTTACTATAGCAGACAACTGACCCTTTCTGTCAGAAAAGTTTATACAAAAGATCTGCACAAACTCCAGTTTACAGAGTTACTAACCAAAATATGGCAGGCTAAGCTAGCAGCAACCCTGAATATCTAGACTTTTAAAAAGACTCCAAACACTTCTGTGCTAACAGTGCAGGAACACTACACAATGAGTAAATGCAGAGTAAAATAGAGTTTCTTCCAAACACAACTCTTTAGAAAGGCTGTTTTCTGTTGTGATTTTTCCTTTCAAAATGGTATCTGCTTGTAGTTCACTTAAATAAAAGAGCATGTGTGTGTGGGAGGCAAAATTACAGTCAACTCTCAATTATCTGAGAGCTGTTTATCTGGGTTACACATTAACTAAGCCACTGAGACAAGGGAAAACAAGCTCATTCACGTGCAGAAACGGCCTGAGCACAGAGAATGCCTACTGACTTGCAAGGCCTTGATCCCTTGGTCCTCACTCATGGCCTTTGATTTTCACAGGTCCACCTATCTCCAAAAACCTGGGGAAACCCTTGCTGTAAGATGACATCCAAAACACAACAACAAAAAGGCAAAATTGGGATAACACTAAGTGAGCAAATAGACCACTTATTTAAAAAAAATCGTCAGGACACAGTAGAATAATTTCCATCCTTGCTCTGTATAAAACAAGACAAATGAAGAGCCCTAAACTTCACGTCAGATCTATGCAATTCATACACCAAAGCATATTTTTATCACGTTCAACATGTGTTGCATGCTTTAGCTCTGAGGTTATAAGTGAAAAGAGAAATACACTGCCACTGGAGCATTAAGAAAGTTACTTGTGATACCTCCTCTTCTACGGACTGATACTCCTTATCATCAGGAGCAAGGTCAAGGAGAATGGTCCCCTGACTCACACAGTGGAAAGTCAAATAAGGATTGGTGCCTGCAAAGAGAAGGAATTAAAAGAATAAAAATCAATAGCGGAAAACAATATCAGCTCTATTTGAATCCAGCATCATCATTATTCTTCTTAAATAACCCCAGTGCAGCAGGAAATTGAAAATAAACACAAGGCAGAAGCACAACCTTGAAAAGATAAAGTGCCTTCCCTAGCAGCAGAGGCTTTAACAGAGAGAAGGAAACTGCACGTGGGCCATAATTGCATTTTATTGTTTCCGCTTTCAAGAGAAGCATCTGAGAAGCGTGGGGCCGCAAAAAACTTCATCAGGTCCACACTTCAGGATACAACTGGCCTGTATGTAGGTACATAGGGCCAATCAATCCAAAAGTTTCTGCCCCTGGAAATGGGCACAGCCTGCACACCTGCCTCAGGGGTGTCCATTCTCTGGAAAGGCCAGTGATCACTTGCTCCTGTATCTCTTCAGTGTGTTCTTTACCCATCACAACCCACACAGCCATCAGGTCTGCCAGCAAGTACATTCTCCTGGCATCCAGATTCTTTCAGCTGTCACCTGGTGACAATGCCTACATTTACAGAAGGTGACTGGTGAGCGCCTGTTGTACGCTACACTTAGACTAACCGGTACAAGTGTCATGTTTACCTTGCTGTCCTCCTAGAAGTCTCTCCACACCTTTTATTAATTTGTGGCGGTGTCCATAAGCGTTGATCCCAATTTCTTTAAGCTCCTCATGTCCCATGTCTGCCAACACATCCAGGGTTATCTGAAAAGGTCAAAGACCACAAAAATCACTTGCCAAACCTGGCTCAGTTCAGAAAATTGAAAGCATTCATGCTGCAACCGAGAGAGAGAGAGTGTGTGCATGTGTGTGTATATATATATATAATTATTTTTTAATGTTTTGCTGCACTTCTAATTGCTGCCACCTTCTGGCAAGCCTCTCCTTGTCACAGGATCATACCTACCTGCTACAGTGTGAAGCTGTGCAAAAGTTTTACATCTCTTACAACAATAAACAAGAGCTGGTTCTCAAAACCATTTCTACTTACACCAAAGGAGAACAGATGGAAATGCTGGGACAAATCTGGGAATATTTTTGAAGCATTCAAAGTTTCACATTGTGTAGTGAAAATAATGAATTGCACAACAAACAGAAATGAATAAACTTACTAATAAATCTTAAGTGCGTTTCACATCAACATTACTCTGGTGTGTGCTATTACGGGGTGTATACATCAACATGCGCACGTGCATGTGTATCAAACCAGTGGGCCAGCTATGCTGTCATGCTCAACTATTCCACTGTTTTTGGAAATAATTAGCATTGTGAGGACACACATAACTATTCATTTGGTTGCAATATATGAATACATCTACAGTCACCCAAAAAGGTTTTAAATTTCAAGGTCATGGAAATTATTGATGGAAGCAGAAAGGTAATAAAACATTATGTCAAACTTTTTTTTAAAAAAACAGGAGATAAAGGCTAAACAAACGTGGAAGCAGAAAGGTAATAAAACATTACGTCAAATAAACTTTTATTAAAAAAAACAGGAGATAAAGGCTAAACAAACTACACATTTCTATTACTATAAAGCAATTGTGCACTGAGGTGATTCTATGAAAACCAGAAAGATTTCATCTGGAGGAGATAATTAATAAAATCTACTTTCAAATTTACACATTAAAACTAGAATGGGAAGCTTAACAAATAATGGGAAACCATACACCTTGATTCATAAGAAGGTGGATTGTTAGCACAGCTGGATTTGCAGGTATGAACTCTGTCCACTACAAACTGAATATAATTAATTCAAAATAAAGCAACTGAGGCAAGGGATTAATAGCTACTCTGAACCTCTGTCCAACTGAGCAGAAAACAACCCTGCTGGGACTGCTGTGGAAAAGCCACTGAAGACATTCATCATGTACAGTGGAACATTAAAAAAATACAGAAGAAACCCAGATATTAGAAAGCATCAGTGCAGACACAGTATGAAAAGGAGGCTAGAGCCAAGGTGTAAGAAGTGCACATGAAGGTACTGTGCAGTGCTTGGGAAAAGCAGCTTAAAACAATAAGCTTAAGGAAGATGAGCTAGAAAGCAACTTACAGGAGGAGCTAAACAGTTTCAAAATGATGAGTGAATATAGTGAATCCTATTTGCATTATTAAATCTTATTAGCAGGGAATTATGCTAAAAAACACGTTAGGAATTAAGGAAGCAAAAGCAGACCAAAAACAGCATGGTAACAGAAAAGTGTGAAAAACAAAAAAGAAATGTGAGTAGAATATAGGTTGGTTTGAGGGTGGTTTGCTTCTTAATAGAAGCAGTTCCAAATTAAATTATGCTTCATATATAAGAACGGAAAAAAGATTATATGGCATTTTAACTTTAGGGAGATACCTCCTGTAACACTTCATGGAAACACATGAACTTGAAACTTTTTCTGTAAGCAACACATTACATTTCAAACATTTGTTTCCTGACCCCTCCTAAAAAAAGTCAGCAGCAGAGGCCTGGAAAAAAAACCCCATCAAATCCAGTCTCTTGCACTTGTGCCTTTCACTTCTACTGCTGTGTCCACCTTGCCCATGCGAACAAATAATCTATTTAAATGTAACACGTTAAATTTAAGAAACGGTACATAAAAAGAGTCAACAAATATATTAGACGTACTTCTGCTCTAGAAAGTAACGTAAGCTGGAGAAACTGTTACATTAGTAGCATTCTTTTAATATATTGTGAATTATTGATAAATCTGCAGGATTTTTTCCCCTTCTCTCAATTTCATTTGAAATTTGTTAGCCCTGGAAAACCCAGTTAATGCTATAGTCCCAACCTACGAGGAAACACAGTTTCTGCGTCCTCTAGTGTGACTACACCCAACTAGATTTTTACTTA